TTTTCCCCAATGTCTTTTTGATTAATCTACCAATAAACCTAAAATTTGCTATGATAATTATGTTATTTTTTAGGTCGTCGACTTTTAATATTGGAACAACAAAGTTCTTTATTAGAAAAGCTCCTATATACGCTTGAAAGAATGGCAACGTTTTCTTCATTTCTCTTCACTCTGAAATTTCAAAAAATTCATTCTGAAGCTATGTTCAATGCGCTTTTCAACTGACCGTACTCCCCACACTTTTGACCGATTTCGTATAGGTCTCAGTCTTGATAGTTTTGGAAACTATTGTTTCACCAGTGCTTCCTTTATTTTGTTGTTCCGCCTGCAATCAGACAGAATTGAAAAAACGTTAAATTTTACTATAAAAATATCTGTAATGTTGAGTTCTAGCTAGAGCTATTGGATCGCCAAATTAAGTCAAAAATTTGTCTTTAGAATTTAGGTGAAAAAGCTTTTCTCACTTACGAATATAAGGAAACATTAACTCACATCGCGATTTGGTGTTTGCTGAAACAGGCACATTACTAATTACTTATATCACAGGCGAAAATAATTTTGCACGACACTTTCTTGTGATTGGTCGTTCATAGAATAGGATTAGTGTAATATTGCGTATTCATATAAGTTAGGAGGAATCACTTACGACTCCACTATTGAATCCTGAGTTTGGTTGCGATTGTTGGCTAGAATCCGGCTTGGCAAGCGGCGCTAAATACTGACATTTGAAAGGTTAGAGAGGTTCCGACACAACTTACCAACAGTAAGTTGGGACAATGGATGACTTGGTCCTCCTGTAGGCTGAAATTATAAAACCGAAATAGTTTAAATTCAAGTGGCGCTCACACTTGCATTCTCTTCTGTTCGGGATGACATGCAGGTGCTGTATAGTCGCGAACACGCAACGCGCTAGCTGCTGCCTTTAGCGCCTCCACGTAGATGCGTCAGATTCGCGCTAAGGAAGTGTCGGGTGTTCAGGCTAATGTGGCACTCGCATTTAGAGGTCTTAGAGTCAGTCTTAGAGGCATAGATAGAAATGCAATCTCTGCTGCGGCCTCGACATCATCTTAGTTGCAAAAAAAATCTATGAGATGGGTTTTTTTGACGAGAGGAGTGCCAGCTTCGTTCCTATCGCATATAATTGACTTTTAAGAGAGAGAATGGGACGATTTTTTCTTTTTACTCATTGTTTCA